TACATAAAATCAATCTACATAAAATCAATCTATATATATGACGTTTTGGCGTGTTTCTATCTTTGTCTTGTTTTTCTTTGATGCGGTGAGCGATGATTGTGGTTTTATATTATCCTCAATTATGACATACCAATTTCGTCCCTTCCACCTTAACACAATAACGTATATTTTCTTGCTCTTTCTTGTTGAGCGATAACGCTGCCATAAATAATAATGACCGTAAAAATTATTCACAATATGAAGTGGCGTTACACGATGTGTGATTAGATGCAAATAACGCATTTACCCAAGCCATTTTGAAACCAAACTCATTGCGCAATTGATCGCGTTTCACGCATTGATTTATCAAGCTTCGATAGGCGAAGTTTGCTCAATTTTTAATCGACTTCAAAAGGCGGAGGTTTTCAGTTCGACTGTAGTTTTTATGTTTTGTTACCTCACAACTTTCGACTGGGTGGACAGATTTTGATGATACTTTTTTTATTTTTATTTCATAGACTTTGCTTCCCATATGGTTCCAAATTAATTGATCTTGGGCTCCGAAGATACTTAAGGAACTCCGAAAAATCAAACACAAAATGAATATGGAGAGAGATAATTGAAGTCGATTTTGTTTTTCGTTAGTAAAAATAGACTTGGTGTTACTAATGAGCACTTACGCTAGTGTAATTATTTTAATCTGTGGCTTCATTTTCGGACATATTTGGCCGATTAGAGTCAACTGGTGATATATAAATTGTGGTATGTTTGAAATCATTGTAACCTATTGATTTGATTTTTAAATTGGTCTGTATGTATATTATGAATTTTTTTACTCGAGCATGAGCAAGATATTGGAGGAGCTTTGAAAAAAGAGAAGTGTACTTTTAACTAGTTAAATATTTTTTTATTCTGTTATTCCTTTGAGATCAATTGAAATTTTGTAATTAAATATAAACGATAAAGTTGTTTTGATAATTGATGCAGTAATATATGGTAAAGTATTCAGGTTTTTTCCATAGTTCATAAGTCGTAAATCTTTTTTTGTAAAAACAAGTTCCCAATCAATTTTCAAACATCATAAGATAACGCTTTAATGCTTTTAGTATTTTTTTCTGCCTACTATAATTTAGCATTATATTTGTTTCTGCTACTTACGATTCTTATTTCCTTTATCTGTTTGAATTTAACATCATATTAGTTAAATCATCGAAATACACGGTGCAAAAGCGGGAGAGATGCAGAAATTTCAGGAATCACACCAAATTAAACTAAATTAACTGAAATCCATCATTATCTTCATCACTAGAGACATATCCGTTCGCACCTGGTACAGTTCACACGTACCAAATAGCGATTTCGCCGACTCTATAACTGGTACCGCCAGTTTCTATGCAGGCGCTACAGCCGATCCATTCAAGGCCGACAACCTCGTGCTGGGCCCAAGCGTTCGCCGTGGCTGTTGACAATATTCGCCATGTGGTGACCGACGACGCTCGTATGTTCGGAGCGAATAGATGAACCAATGATAAAGATTACGACGTCGCGTGCCGTACGCATCGCCTCGCCGCGTAACTGACGCTCGTGTGATTGTGCGACTCCTATTGTCTTTGTTATTTAATTGAAATTGCAAATCTACCGTACGAAGCAGGACTAGTGTGTGACAAGTGTAACTGTATTAAGGTAATTATGCCCGAGTTCTGTTCTGTTATCAGTCTGTATCGGCTTCAGCGCAAGATATTAAACGTCAAAATCACGCCGTGTATTGAAATCTCGGATTCATCAGTGTTTTATTTAACGGATTTATCTATTTATTAATGACATTATTAGTGTCAAGAACTTTTTTTTACTAAGAGTGATCACTCTTAGTAAGAAATGAAATTATTGGCTTTCGATTTAGTGACAATTGTTTTATTTTATTTGTAGGGAATATAGCACGTTGAGTTTAAATTAATGCCCTTGCTTTATTTATTTCAATTATTTTCATTAATTATTAATTTTTGCTGCCTATGTCATACAGCATAAAATGTTCTCGATGTATATATCTAATGTAAAGAATAACATAAAAAGGTATTAAACTTTGTTATCATGAGAATGACTGGTACCGGTTTTTGCGTTTTAAGGTGGCAAGATAAAGTACTGATTTAATTTTACATTCAAGTATTAGCATATTCCCAGTGGCTTGCTCGTTCTATTTGCAATAAATGTAAACTGCAGTGATTAGCGTTCAAAATTTATTACACCGTATAATAATAAATTAAAGTTATTTTAAACATTACGGTGGTAGGGCCACGCAGCAGCCTCGGCTGTTGCACGAATGGGCAGGCCCGTCCGGGTAAGTACCACGACCTCACAGAAGACCGGCGTAAAGTGGAAGTATGACAAATACTTTCGCGTTTCGTCTGGTGAGTGAGGTAGCCGGAGCCCAATTTTCAAAAGGTTGTCAACGCATCTGTAACCCTCGAGTGTAGCAGATGTCCATGGGCGGCGGTATTCACTTAACATCAGGTGAACCGTCTGCTCGTTTGACAACTTTTTAAAAAAAAAAAAAACAAAAAAAAAAACAATTCATGCAAAGATAATGTACAATGCAGACTTATTAAAGTTTTTAAATGTGTGTAAGAAAAGTAGAAATATGAATTTATGTAAAACAAATGATAAGATTTTGAGCACTAAAGGAACCGTAGTTAATTATTACATTTTATGGTGCCTTTCACTTAGAATTTATAAAAGTTATAAAACCTTTGACATTCATAAGGAATGCTTATTCCTCCAGAATTCTTATCACTCCTTTACTTATTCGTGGTAAAATAGTTACTCCTTAGAGATATCCCGGTTTCAATAAAAATATGTACAATTAGACAAAAAAAGACATTGTTTGAGTGCAAATAAAAAAAAAGTGAAACCAAATGGTGTCCTTATCATGGCTGAGAGTAAAAGACAGTACGTAGTATAACGGCATATATGTCAGCACGTGGTGTAGAGCGTCAAAAAAGTACTAGTATTAATAAACTATACTCCCTCTACTTACGAGTAAGTGCATAACTGTGTTCGCTTTTAGTGAAATGTATAAAGGCACGTGTAGACCTGAATGTTGTTATTAATTGTAAACTAAACTTGAAATGGAGTCCTCGTATCTACAAATGTTAGCCATAACAGATAAAATTCAAAGAACAATAAATGAAATACTGTAATTTGCTCCACTGTTTACTGCATGTCTGTTGTATTATTTCTGAACAATTTTTGTTATTATTAACATAAAAATATAATTTAGATATAATAATATTACATTATTGTAATATAATTTAAAATCAAAATTGACTACACCGGTAGAAAGTGAACTTGTAGTTAGCTAGAATACCATAACACATAAAGTATAATTAAATGTTAAATTGTAACTTAAGCTTAGAGTCGTGATAGCTCAGTGTGCTGCTCGGTGCCGACACCAGTGAAATTGTTAATTTAACGTGCTCAACGGTGAAGGAAAACATCGTGAAAAAACCTGCGTCTATTTTGATATTTCGAAGATATGCGTGAAGTCCGCCAATACGCAGTTGGGTCACGTGGTGTACTATGCATTCTTTACAGAGGAGGGCTTTGCCCGGCAGGGGGACATTTATAGGATGTTACTTTACTTTTTTGTAACTTATGCTTAATGAAACCGGTAAACTGAAAGCTCATTTGTGATCAGTCGAACAAAATTTTTATTCAAAACCGCGAAGTCAAATCGCATCTTGCTACTAGGCCATTCCATTTCGAATCTGTGCATGTAAATATCTTTACCCACTCTTTAGAGTGGGTAGACGGTTCAACTTTGTAATGGGCGAATATGATATGACTTTGAAGTTCTTGATTTTAAATCCAGTTAGCCATTTATATTTTATATCGTCCTGCTCTAAGGATGTGATGCGATAAAAAGGTACCTACCATCCAGACCATTTCAGATATCCCGTTATTTAAAAACTTTCATTCGTCTTATCAACCAATGCCAATTTACTGAATGAAAAAGTATTTTAATATTAATAAGATTAATTTCAAAGTTTGCCGTGACAATAAATGTTGTCATTTTTTAAAATAAATATATATATGTGTGTATAATCTCTATGCTAGTACTCGTTTAGTACTTTAACAAAAACTCTGTCTTACGTCATTTATGTGATTGCGTCATTAACTCAGATGAGTTTTACAAACGGCTGTACAGTTCACATAAAAAAATTATGTCTCTTGGATACACCTATACATGAATTTTCATACGTCATTAACCTCCCTGTTTCGTCTTATATTCACAATGTATGTTTTAAATCTTTCGTCATTTTCTGCATTTATAAATAATATATTGATTTCATTATATTTGTTGCTAACGGCTATTAAAATATGTATACATTGTATAATTGATTCCGCCATTATTTTTAACTATACTTTAAAAACAGCTAATCTTTTCTAATCATTAGGTTGTTGCCATAAGTATATACATTTTTAATTTTTGACATATATAACCTAATAAACAAAAAGGACAGCGAAATTTCTGTTTTAAAACATTGCTTTAAACATTTGACAAGATTCACATAATACATTTATTTTTAAGTTATGTATGCGATATATGAGTTCAACTTTATTATGGAAAAGTAAACATTGTTTTTTTTTTAATGTGAGAAAGTGGCAAACTGATGGTGAACATGACTGATGTTAAGTCAATGATAAAAGACGGCTATTAACAATTGCAACACCCATAGTTGCAGATGCGTTGCTACCTTTAATTGAAGTGGGCCCCGGCTACCTCACTCAACAGACAAAACACAGGAGTGTAATATTTCTACTTCACGCCGGTCTTCTCTGAGGTAGTGGTACTAAACCGGATGGCCCGCAAATTCGCGTAACAGCGAACACTATTGCGTGGTCATACCATAGTTAAGTGAGTTCATTCACATAACTAATTATAACATAGTAACTAGACCGGCTTCAATTTTTGCACTTAAATTGTTACAGATATAGAAAAGATAAAGTCAAAGGGCACATAAAACATGGATGATTTAAATGTAGTGCAAGCACACAATCTACTTGGACAGAAGTCAGCAATTCCACAAATAAGAAAAGACAATGCATTGACGAAAACTTTACGATCATGTAAGTAAAATTCTCAGTAATGGTTGTCATGTTAGTCCTGGGTACCACAACTGGTAGTCATTAACAAACTACGCAACGGTTTTTATTGTAGTTTTCAGCATTAGAAAGAGTAATTTGGGAGGAAGGTTTATATGTAGTGTATGTTTATTTTGTAGTAGACAAAAGCAAGGTGATGTAGTATCAAGCATATTTTTGTGCGCTTACATTTCAAACGCTGGTTTATCCTTACGAGATAGATCAAATTAATATACTACGGAAATGTATATCTTAAAAAGATCTATAAAAAAGTCCGCGATTGAATGTTTATTTTGGATAACCCACAGTAACCATTATTATCTCTTACATTTATGACAAAACATTATGGGCTATTTACCAATCTATGTTAAACAATACTGTATTATTCCTTTTTCAATAAAATACATTTGATATGTCGTGCATTTTTTGTAGATCTAAATTGCCCTTTACAGAATATTATCATTAAAATTAATATCTTAGATGACATATTTTAAAAAGAGGGGGCAGGGCGGCTGGCAAGCCGTAAGTCGGTCCGGTTAATAGCGTACGACGGGTTGAAAACATGTTTGTACTGTCTCATTAAAACAGCTGTAAATACTGTGTATAAAGAGATCTTGTTGCATAGACTAATCATAATCATATTATAATATTATTGACCGTAGACTGCCCCATATTAGTATTTACCAAGCGACCATATGAAGCCGAGGCGGGTTGCTAGTTTACATAAAACTTTAATTTTTCTATTTAACCCGTGATCAATTGCATTTTATGTCTTTTTCACAAACAAAAAGTAGTTTTTTTTGTTGTATAACTTCTTATGTGTTTACAGATATATACAAGCGCACACATATTTTTTTCGTTATGGAGCATTCTAAAAGCACTAGCGTGCGAACATCACGATTATCCATACTTTCTAGGCATCTAGGTTGTTCAGAAACAGCGTATATGGTTTCCGTTTTCGGTTACGTTTAAATGAAAATTTTAAATTTTCGTGAACGATGGAGCTAGCTCGCTGCCTTACTGTTACTTGAAAAAGGTTTTGCGACGTTCGCCAGCCTTGCGCGTTCGTCGATCCATTTTATTTTTAAAGTCTAGCGTATTCGAGTAAACTTAGTTCAAATTTGAAGTGTTGCCATGGTAAAAGTGCCCTATAGTAAGAGAAATCTTGAGAAAACAATGGAACTTTAAAATTGTTATGTGAAGTCCACCAATTCACACTGAGTCAACGTGGAGGATTACTCGTATTTGTATAGATAGAGGCCTATCCCAGCTGGGAAACATATGAAGCTTATTACTTTATAGTGATCGAGGTTGATATTCATGGTCACCTTTCTTTCTTTGACCCCCTACTTTTTATTTAAGAATAAAGTAGTATCGTTTGGTTATTACCTACCCTAAGGGACGTTCTGACATTTTTAAAAATATTATTATTGAAAAGAACAATTGCTTTAAAAATGAAAAATAATGGAAAAAGTAGTGGAGAAAAATTATAAACGAATTTTTAATGTTTTTCACTTTCCTACGATCTTCTTTGTTATATAATCGTGTTGAACTGGTATTATTAGAGAAGAGCGTAGTGAACTGGAAACTGAATGGTTTGAATAAAAAATAGTCTAGACGTGTAATAGAAATTATTTTCTCCGAGTAAAAACAAAGCTAGGTTAAAATAAATTTAATTAAAACTTTTTCGTACTTTCACTTTTGCAAGGTAAAATTAAATTTCTGTAAAACAATATCACAAACAATGTCAATGAAGATTAATTTGTTTTTAAATTAACTTTAACAATTAAAATGTTATTCACATATAAAATAGTAATATATAGTATGCACGAGTGAATTATTAAATATTGTGTGTTTTGAATGAATACCTAGTGTTAGTAATATATTTGGTATAAAAATATATTTTAAACAATTGTTTTTGTTCTAATTTTGCTCAAGGGTACAGCATTTCATTATAATTATTTCATTATATTAAGGCATCGGTGTTTCAAAGTAGCTACGGGTGCAAGAATTCCAAACGAGATCCATTACTTTATCACAAAATCAATGACAAGGAAAGTCTTTGAAAATGATCTCCGGCACTTCTGGGCTTTCGTGTCTAAACGATACAGGCGATAATCGCACAGTTGGATATTACGTCAGTAAAGTATTTCGTCCCATGTACTTTCAAGTTCTCGCTATTTGCATATTGCGTTGTAAAGTTGTCGACTTCGTTATTATTCTGTGTTCGTTGTGCATAAGCTGATAAATAAGCTGGTTATCTTAAAACTAGAGGAATTCCACATAATAATAAATTCCTCGGGCACTTCCATTCCAACTATTCATGATATTTAGTTGCAATAATTCCAGGCACGAAAAATAATTGCAGGGCAAACGTGAGAAACCATTATAGAATCGATTTGTTTACGTCACGGTAGACTGATCAACCCGCTCACTTGTAAAGTGAAACGATTGAAGCCCAAACGATTCCTGTCAGATACGTTCTAAATTAAAAACTGTATATTTTTCCAGGTTGCATAATACCGCAAAGGTACATATTGGGCGTAATGGGGCTTCTTGGGGTTTGCAACGCGTACACAATGCGCGTGTGTTTAAATTTAGCAATAACGCAAATGGTCAACCACACCAAAAGTGGCGATGAACATTTCGATCCTGACGCGTGTCCCGAAGACGAAGTTATTGGCAATGTCACTGCGGCAGAGCGACCTGTAAGAAAACTTTTATTTTGCCTAAAATAGGACTTATTATTACAATTATACTTTTTATTATTGTGTGTGCATTGTAAGCGTCCTCTTCTTTTCATGCTGTAACGTCTGGAGAGAATTGAATTTGAAACGGAGATAGCATAAAGCGTGAAAAATTAGGTTAATGTCTAAGATTTATTTTTTTATTTAAAAATGTATTGTTTACAACCCAATATAAGGCCAAACAAAAGGCAAACTTAATGGTAAAAAGCATTCTCTTCCAGAAAATCCTGGGAGTTGTGATACTAATGTTTGAAAGCCTCATCGAAAACAGAAAGCTGCAAAATACCTCATTTCAACGTCTTTCTTAATAAGTAATAACTAGCATCTATTGTGGCAAATCTTAAAACTTTTTAAACGACTTTTGCAAAATACTTTTAAATTCTCTCATATACGTTTCAATTTTTCTTGTTCAAATATATTTTTGGAGCACATTTTAATATATTGCAAAAAATTCCTACTGGGGTAATGCTATATGGTCGAAAGAATTTTTCCAGTTTGCTAGTAGTGTCATTATAGTGGTCTTATTTTTGCTACTAACTAGTCTGTACATACGAACATACACCGATTGGAAATGAGTTTAGCCATTTAATTAATTAGTTTTTTTTTTATTTATTAAGTGAATAATACAACATAAAAAAATTATTCGCCAAATTGTGAAAACAATTTTCGGCGACACAATGCACTCTTACATAATTGTCACTTAAATAACAAAATAAAATTAGTATAGGGTACACTGGAGTTAAAAATAATAACTAAGCAATAATAGAAATAATAAAATAAAAGAAAAATAAAAACTGGAACAATCTAAGTAGTGCTACTATTATAATAATCTATTAAAAAGGCCTTTAACTTCCTTTTGAAGATATTCTTGCTTATACAATCAGTTAATAATGTCTCACGAAACTTTTAGTAATTTAATGTTTTCAATTTACTTTAGCTGGCCAGTTCATCGAAATTTCCACGCGGAATTACAAATTCAAAATACAAAGTCTGTATATAAATAAAATTCGACAAAAACAGTACGTAACGCTGTTTCATGAACAGTCTATCTTCTATAATAGGCTTTTCTTATGAGCAAACGGCGGGATCCAATTTAGAGAAATTGCATATGCATAAAGTTCATCTATTGCTTTCAGTACGCCACATTTCAATGGGATGAGAAGACTCAAGGGCTTATTCTGAGCGGTTTCTACTATGGGTACGCGGCAACGCAAGTCCCTGGTGGCTACTTGGCCGAGCGTTTTGGCGGGAAATGGACGCTCGGTGTCGGTCTTCTGAGCACTGCATTGTTCACATTTCTCACTCCAATAGTAATTAGAGCTGGAGGTGCAACGTGGCTTTTTATACTTCGAGTTCTTCAAGGAATGGGGGAGGTATTTATACTTTAATATGTTTTCAGCTTAATTTAATTTCGTGTTTATGATAATTAACTGTAAATAAATGTTGGAGTAAAAAAATATTAGTTACTAGCTGCTGCCGGCGACTACGTCCGCATAGAATAGGCAGAAGGTGTAACATTCAGACAGAAAGACAGATATACATAAAATATATAATTATATCAATGATAGCCTATGTCTTATTCTGATGTATAAGCTATATTATTGTAAAGTTTCATTAAAATCCATTCAGTACTATTTTCGTGCAAGAGTCACAAACATCCATCCACACATACAAACTTTCGCCTTTATAATATTAGTAATGATTATATTATAGTAAGGAATGGATAGACAATGTTAAGAAAGTTACAACTGAAGGTAAATGCAAAATTTTCTAATGTTTGTATTCTTTAATTTCGCAGGGCCCTACAATGCCGGCTTTAATGATAATGCTGGCAAGATGGGTTCCCCCACACGAGCGTTCATTTCAAGGTGCGCTTGTGTTCGGTGGGGCACAAATAGGCAATATATTTGGTTCTTTTATGTCCGGAATATTGCTGGCTGACGGTAGAGACTGGGCTTACGTATTTTATTTCTTCGGTGGATTCGGTATATTTTGGTTCACTTTATGGGTAGGTAACCTTTTACTTTACATCTACAATTACATTTTGTAGTTGTTAGTTCTACTGTTGATTAGTTTATAATTAATGTAAGTAATCTACTTAGTTTAATTACTTAAAAAAATCTTTCATCTATGATTTGAAACTTTCCCTGTTTGTTTCAGAGCTTGCTGTGCTACAGTACACCAAACACACATCCGTATATATCCAAAAAGGAGTTGAATTATCTGAACAAAAACGTTACAACGGCCGAGAATAAGACCGCAAAGGATCCGGTTCCTTGGAAGGCAATATTACGGTCAGCGCCAGTCTGGGCGTTAGTGTGGGCCGCTGTGAGTAGTTCGATTTTATCGCATCGGCGTTTCTTTTTGTACGCCTTTCGTTCCGCTTTAGAACAGTTTTCATAGCGTACGGTATAGTGCATGCTTACGTAAAAGTATCGTTGCGAATGCAATTTATCTAATCACAGCGCACCAGCGCTAAGTAAATACTTATGTCGTTGCACCTGCATATAGTTTTAATCCTTAGATTTAATTCTATGAAATCCATAGAGTATAATTATTATAGTATCGCGTGCTAGCGTTGTAATTATCAGTGAACTATGTTTGCCTATGTCGAAAATAAACAAACTGTGGATAAATTATTTTAGGTTATCACGATATAAATTTTCCTTCAACTGGAACCCACACATCTTGTTAGTTAAAGTATCTTACAGTTTGTTAGATTTTATTGTATGAAGTTTTATGTGGTCTTTTTCTTTTCTCATTATTTACCTCAATCAGAAAATTGCAATGATAAATAAAATACTAATATTAGACCAGTCAATTTGAAATTTGTGTTGTGGAAACAACAATTTGTCAATGTCTCATTTGTGAGTTATTAAATACTTTACGCGACAGGATACAAGGCATCGTAAATTGTGGATAACAATGTAAAAATTTAGCGTTGCTATTATACATAGTTGCGCAAACAATTAATGACTGTTCAACATGGCTTAGGCCTTGGGCAACATGTTGAATTGAATAAGACGAACGGCGCTCACATTCGTTGCGTATTTGTTGTGGGTGTTGTTATTGGATTCTGTGCAGTGTCGAAATAATGAATTATTACGACCCAAACTTTTATACAGATTATGAGAGAACAAAGATTTTGTAGAAAATTTAATGTTTTATTTTACCGCTTCTGTGACATTTACACGAGCATTATCTTATTTATCATCGTATTATTCGTTAAATTTCAGTCATAAATGTGAAAGTTATTCGAGCTATAGTGTATAAATGCTCACAACTTTGAACGTCGGAACATAACTATTTCAATTTTCTAATGAATTAATCGAACAATATTGTAGGATACCTTGTGACTGAGACGGTGTTTATAGATTCGATTCTCAAGGACAATATTTGACTTTTTGTTTTTAGTTAACAATTTTATACGAATATGACATGTTATAGTTTCGGAATGATAAATGTGTATCAGAATATTAAGACACACAATACTTTTTCCCGTTTAGGGACATTATTTTCCTTAGCAATTAGTATATTTAGTATCGGTTTCGTTTCAAATTGTGCCTGAATTCGAATTTTTATACAAGTGATTAGAGTAGAAGTTTTCTTTTAATACATCATTCACAAATATCGCAACTCAAGGCCAATCTCTATAAATCTCCACCATCCACGTTTTATTTCAACCAAATAATAATATATGAAAGTTTTTCTATTGCAGTAATCGCTCAATTAGCAATCGTTGTAATAGAAACTTAAAATACTGAAGCCAAACTACAATCTTCATGTATACTTTTAGGTAGGACACGACTGGGGCTATTATACTATGGTAACGGACTTGCCAAAGTACTCCCACGACGTGTTGAAATTTAACATAGCTACTACAGGTACATTGACTGCGCTGCCCTACATTGCCATGTGGCTTTGCTCCTTCCTATTCGGTTTCGTGTGTGATCTATGCATCAAGAAAGGATGGCACACGATTAAAACTGGCCGCATCATTCACACCACAATAGGTTAGCTGCGTGTTTTTTTTTTAAATCTCTCAATTTATTTAAGAAGTTAAAGTTTTAACTAAACAATGCGATACTCTTCGCTATTGCACGAATGTGCAGGTCCGTCCGGGTAATAATAAGACCTCACAGAAGTCCGGAGTGAAGTGGAAGTGTTTACCTCTGTTTATTATTGTTGTGGAAGTGGTATAATCTCGTTTCGTCTGGTGAGTGAGGTAGCCGGGGCCCACTTTATTACGAGGTGGCTACGTATGTACATACATACGGGTGATGCAAATGTCAATGAGTGGCTTTAATAACTTAAAATTATGTGAACCACCAGGTCATAAAATATTTTAAAAAAATCTGTATTACCTTATTATTAAAAAAACTGTTAAGCTATTTATATGGTGTTTGCATAATTGGTTATTTAACCATCGAAATTTCAACCAACTTTTTGGCCGTTAGCAGCATTCATGAATCGTGACTATAACCGCTAAATATTTCACATAACGAAGCACATGTTTATAAATTTACCTATTAGTTTAATGGACAAAAATAAAGATCAAATTAGTCCTATTCTTATGAATCTCACTCATCTCGCATTGAACTACTTAGTACACACAAGTTTTTGCACGCAGAACCCTTGATTTCCCATTATCACAATCTGTGCTATTTACTAGTATATTCAACACCGGCCTCATATTCGCCTTTTTATTGATAAAAAATGTTTATTGTATATAATAATTGCTGAAAACACAAAGTTATGTACACAAGTTCTGCATTCGTGAATAATGCGTTCATTACTGAATGCTACAATTTTTTTTTAAATTTACAGCCGCCACTGGTCCCGCGATTTGCATTATCCTGGCATCATATGCTGGATGTGATCGTACAGCGGCTATGGTTTATTTCATTTTATCAATGGCTCTTATGGGTGGTTTCTACAGCGGGATGAAGGTAATTTAAATTAGCATCAGAAAAAAGTCTTATTAAATTTGTCTGTTTATACATATCAATCACAACGGTCTTTCAAATATTTGAAATTGAATAAATTTTATGTAGTTAAGTATCAATGAGTTCAGAGAAAAAGGCTTGCCATATGGCTTGTACAATTTTTTGTTTGATAAATCCTCGTTGAGGGGTAAAGAAATTTACAGACAGTAATTCCCTTCCCTTATTAAATAGACAGTCTAGAATGGTCTGTAGGAGCCGATTTATTTAAGTTGTTAGTCGTTGCTCGTGAAATTTGTTAGAATTGAAGAGCAAAGCGATCAAAATGAATTAATAAATTTATGTTTGTCTATTTGCCGTCCAGTGGTCAATACTCATACGTTATTCATTCAGTTTAAATTTCTTTTTCTTGAAAATCACTCATTTAATTTGGCTTTTAAAAAATTCTTTTGCTATTTGGCTATAACGTCTATTTTGTGACACTGTTAGGCAATAGATTATTGTATTCAAACATACATTGGCTGTATGAACGTAAGCTGTGAATGTTTCACTAATCTAATGTATTTGAAAAATACGTTGTATTTAATGTTTAGTATGTATCATTTTTTCTGATCTTACTCTCGTATGCAATAGGTATATAAAACAGTTACAAACATTTATTTCTCATAATTATAATAGATTTTTTTCCACGCGAATGATATCATTATAATACGGGCATATTACAGTATTATTTATGTTGGATTATAGATATATGAGTAAATGATATTAGATAATGTAATATAGACGTACGATTCATGTTTACCATCATATATTTTTTTTTGACAGATTTTGTTAAATATGATCCAATACGGTCATAAAGACAGATGTTATCAGTTATTATTTATTTTTTTCTTCATTTGTTTTAATATTTTTCAAAAAATGTATTATTTCTATGATTAATGTGCATTACGAGTGCATTTTTCTTCATTATTAAATATTAAAACCAACAATACAACAAGGACTATGTGTTTTGGCGAATCAAATTCAACGAGATCTGAAACCATGACGTTAAAAATTGGCCATCGTCACCTCTTATCATAATGACAATGACGAAGCAGCAGTGATACATGTTCTCATGTATCACGGACCTATGATAATGTAATACACAGATATGACTCAAATAGGCAATTATGTTGATTGAAATATATAATAGTATATTATTATAATTAGCTAATTATTATAAAGAGCTAGAGAATTATTATAAATAGTATATTATTATTAAGAGCATATTACATTATAAAGATATTTTATAATGTAATATGCTCCTAATTGTTGATGAAGTCTAATAAAAGTTAGAGCCTATATCGATAGATTGGAACTTGGACATTTATATTTGGCAGGATTTTTTACATCACTGGTTAACGATTTTTTGTAAACTCCATCTAAAGAAATTCTAGAACGGCTTTATAAAGTTCTAAAGGTTGGAAGATATTGGAAAGTAAAGGCATATTTTTAAAATTTAAAATTTAAATCTTCGATAAATGATCAGGGAAAGGCATAATTGTAAATTCTGCTCTAATTAGATAAAACCGTAGAGTTTAGTTGTCGTGTTCATTCTTCTATGTGACCAACGGGGTCAAAGATAGCTAGCCCATAATACAATTCAATTTTAAATAACGAGTATAGACCGTATATAACAGCCATAAGGTACTTTTTAATATACATTTATTTCTATATCAACACAAGATGATTCTTTATAATTTATTTGATTTTTTTAATTAGGTTAATGCATTAGACTTAGCACCGAACTACGCGGGCACTTTAACTTCGCTTGTAAATACAACATCGACCTTCGCCGGAATTGTGACACCATATCTCATCGGACTATTAACGCCAGATGTAAGTATAGTTTATGTGAACAAACATTAATAGTCGCTTTAACGACCAGACGGTCTATTATATAAATTACTTATTATATAAATAGTATTATATTTATATAATACCAATCGTATTGAATAATAAAACTTCTACTTATAAAAATGTCATTTATTTTATTACATTAATTATGTCATTAGCAACACTTAAATGTCATCGGTTTTTAAAAATTGGTTATGTCTATCACACAGGTCCAAATCGAGAGATTGTATACTAGTTCTTTTTGATGTTTAAAGCTGTTTTCGTAAGAAGTTTTTTAAAAACATTATAATTTTGTCCTTTTCCACAGTCCACGCTGGTGCAGTGGCGTACCGCTTTCTGGGTATGTTTCGCGGTGTTGGTCGGGACCAACGTGGTATACTGCATCTGGGCTGATGGACAGCACAGTGGTGGGATGACGTGAGGCAGTACGGTTATCCAGCTGGCTGGAAGCATGGCCCCCTAGTGCGCGAGGAGAGCACAGAACAACCGGAGACTGTTAAGCTGACTGACAGAAACGATGGATGACAATTGTACCGTGATAGATATGATGAATATTTACCAGCATTTCTTATACAGTAGTCATAATTCAAATCACTATAATCGCTATTGCGGAATGGATAGGTAAATAAGAAGGAACTCCGTTGGGGACCATATCTAACATAAGAGTATGCAGCAAATATATATATATATATATTAGTAATAATTTTATCATATTCACCTAAAATTTGTATTGAATGTTACCATAGTAACGAACTCCGTAGTGGTAATTTAAATTTCCTGTGTACAGGGTAGTCTTATATCATGATTTCTCTCGAGTGGCCCGTACAATAAAATCTCAGAGACTACAAAGCCAATGTTTAATCCATTGTGTTCAACATAATTTTATACTTAAATAGTAAGTAAGTTTTATAAACAGTACCAGTGTAACTAGTCAGTATTTAGAAAGCATAATGCGTACAAGGTACAAAAAGTCCATAAAAATCTATGTATATAAAACCTTTGTCAATGTGTAAATAAAAAGTTGCAGTAACATATACATTTATTTACTTTTTATGCTCAGATCGGACAATAAACATTTTTTACGAATTATGTGGTCTCTTTTTTTCTTAAATTACATATATATAAATAAAAGACTGTGGCTCCATCCCGGTCTATACCAATCGCTACATTAGTTGTGACACAATTTACCCCTGAATGTCCCCTATCGATTCAAAAAAATATCATTTGATAATTGGGAATAGAAATAGGATTGTTTATATCTTAAAACCAAAACATTTTTGGCCATGCAGATATACTATTACGTTTTCCTTTTTTAAACCAGAATGCAAGCATTTAAGTTAACTTAAACCTGGGAATCAGTTTTAAGACATGCGAATGTGCATGATATAAATACTAGGAGCAAACATAAATTAATTCTACCCACAACTAGATGCCAGGATTGGGACAATGTATACGTTTTTTTACGTTCAAAATGTATCAATTTCTAACTTGAACATTTCTTTGTTTGTTTAAAGCTTTTATAATATTACTTAGGCTATTAATGTTATTTTCCGAACCGGATATTTGAATATGAATTTGAATTGAGTTTAAAGAAACTCAGATCGAGTTAAAATTTCGAGAATGGCAATAATATTGTTGAAATTTAAATGATTTTTATAATTCAGATGATTTTAAGCAATGATTTACAAAGTGCTTAAAGTTGAAGGAAAACATTGCGAGTGAATTCGCTGGAGGGCACTGGCATAATGCAGGCCTGTATACAGTTGTGAGTATAGAAGTTTAGGATGGACGCTACCAATATTTGGTACGATTATAAATTATTATTATCTTCCGCCGCTCCTACCGCTGCCTCCCGATTCTTCATATTTGCAAATTAGCTTTCAGGCTTTGCAAATTACCGATACACTTTCGAGGCAATTATGTCATTTTCAAGTGGCTCTGCTGGCGGCATTGACGGTATAACGCCACAACATCTGAAAGATCTTGTAAGCTTTTCCGCCGGTGATGCTGGCAGAGCGCTTCTTAATGATATTACCAAATTATGCAACTTAATGCTTTCCGGAAAAGTAAATCCTAAATTTGTTCCTTTCTTATACGGGGCAAGATTATGTGCCTTTAAAAAAAAAGATAATGGTATCCGTCCTATTGCTATTGGTTCTACCTTTCGACGCTTAACTTCAAAATTAGCATGTAGGCACATAATCTCCGGCCTTAAAAGAAAATTCCAGCCCTTTTCAACTAGGCTTTGGAAGCAAAGGCGGCTGTGAAGCGGCTGTACATTCCGTTGGAACTTCTTTAAATACTAGTGATTTGGATGTACTTCTGAAGGTTGACCTAAGGAATGCTTTTAACTCCATTGATAGAACGACTCTGCTGAACGAAGTGGCTAACCATACACCAGAAATATATCACTATGTTTGGGAATGTTACAGTGAAAAGAGTAATTTATTTTATGAAAACCATATTATTGATTCTGCTGTCGGCGTTCAGCAGGGAGATCCGCTAGGACCAGCATTATTTAGTTTGGGAATTAATCCAATTATTTCAAAATTGAAATCTAAACTTAATGTCTGGTACCTAGACGATGGTACTCTGGGAGGTAAAGTTGACGATGTACAAAGTGATCTTATTGAAATTATTAGACAATTTAAAAATATCGGTCTCGATTTAAATAATTCCAAATGCGAACTTTTCTTTTCCGAAAAGATTTTTTTTTCCGACAAAATCATTTTGACCCAAAATTTTAGCTCTATCATACCGGGAATTAACGTAGTCCGTTCAGATTCACTTTACCTCTTAGGTGCTCCTATGTTGATACCAAGTTTGGAACCTCATTTAAAATTAAAGTTAAGTCAATTTTTAGATCATGTCAATAAATTGTTTTTACTAAATTCGCATATTGCGCTTACTATTTTGCGACATTGTATTCTTGTACCTAAATTTACGTACCTCCTTCGCTCGAGTCCAGTTTGGAAATGCGGTGACTTTTTGAACGAAATTGATTTCCATCTTAAATCAGCTCTAGAAAAAATTCTAAATTTATCTCTTAATGAATTAAGCTGGACTCAAGCTACGCTGCCAATTCGTTTTGGTGGTATCGGTGTAAGGAAAATTTCTAGTGTCGCTCTACCTGCCTTCCTTGCTTCCGTGCATAGCGTAAATAATTTATGTAATAACATCCTTAATCTCGATTCAGAACTTTCCTATGCAGAGGAGGCAAGGATGTCTTGGTTGTCTATCTGTCCCAACGAAATAAACCAACGAAGTAAGTGGAAGTAAACCTACAAAAACAGTGGGATGTTCCTTTGGTGCGGAGAGTACAGAGAGATACGTTTCAATCTTTAGAAAGTAATTTAGAGCGTGCCCGTTTCCTAGGAGTCTCATCTAAAGAATCGAGTTATTGGCTTCACGCTTTACCATCAAGTAACTTGGGCACATTACTTGACGATGAAAGCTTACGCATTGCTGTAGGAATCCGTCTTGGGGCACCGATTTGTCAACCACACCAATGCCCTTGTGGTGTCAGTGTAGACAAATTTGGTCTCCACGGGCTTTCTTGTCAAAAAAGTGCTGGCCGTTTTTTTTCTCGCCACGGTTCCCTGAACGACATCATCCGTAGGGCTCTTGTTTCCATCAATGTTCCATCTATTTTAGAGCCCTGTGGCATTTTACGCGACGATGGTAAGAGACCCGACGGTTTAACATTGATCCCTTGGGAGAGAGGCAAAGCCCTTGTTTGGGACGCCACTTGTGTAGACACTTTGGCTGCCTCTCATCTAAGGGGTACTTCGGTCAGGGCCGGGGTGGCATCGGAGGCAGCTGAAGTAAGTAAATGGCGCAAATATGAGTCTTTATGTTCAGATTATGTATTTGTGCCATTTGCTGTTGAAACATTAGGTCCGTGGGGTCCCCGCACATCAAATTTTTTTAAAAAGTTTATGTCCTAGGCTTAACGCCGCGGCTGGTGACAAGAGAGCTGGTTCTTTTCTCGCGCAAAGGTTGAGCATAACTATTCAGCGAGGAAATGCAGCTAGCGTTCTTGGCACCATGCCGCGTGGATTAGGTTTATTAGATAATATGTAATTTTAGATAGATTTAATCTTCTAAATATTAGATTATAAAAATATATTATTTCAGTTGTTTATTATTGGAGTAACCTTATCATCACTACGATAGCACGCGTTCGATAGGAAAGGTGTCGCAACCAAAGATGAATCTAGAGCAAGTTGAAGTTTCACAATGAAAATAGGAACATGCATGGGTTTTAAATCCACAATGTCGTTCTGTTAGAGTCATAATGTAAGCAAATATATTTTTTTTAATATATTATTTAAAACTTACAGAATAAAAGAAAAGAAATGAACATTTATAAAATGCATAGAAATTTTGTATTGGGATAAAATCTCTATACATGTTTATATGCAATGGTCATTTTCATCACTTTATTACAACATTTCGAAAAAAAATTTAATGCTTCTTAATACAATATTTTTATTTACGTTTTAGTAGCATATTTGAAAACTAAATGTAATTTCATAATTATTATGAAATTAGTTTGTAAGTATGATATAATACTCAGATAATAAATTGTGCAATAATTTTTGTATTCCACAACCATGTAATAGTTTCTAAACATTCAATAATTTTAAAATACTATATAAAAGAAATTATAATATTTATGATGATAAAACTCAATCGACGACAAATAGTTATTTAATTAGGGTTTAAGTTACTGGTTGTTTTTAACAGTAACTACTATCTAACTCTTCAATGGCTGATCGTTGTTGCTGCGTTTGGTGACGATTTTCTCTTAATTTGTTTTTGATGTTAGATATTTGCTTATTTAGTAGAAGCTTCTTTTCTCTTAAGTTGACGACCTGAAATGACAACCATTTTTTATGTAATTCGAATGAGCCAAACGTAATGCCAATAAGAACTAATTGAACGTACTAAGAGTCATTTTATTTAACGAAAGAGTCCGCTGACTGAGCTGAATTTTGCCTCAACTATAAATACAAATTCAGTTGTATTTTATATAGAAAATCATCAGTTTAAGTTGTTTTAAAAGTCGACACGTTGATAAACTAAGGCAGCACGAGTAAGAAACATGATAATAGATAAGTAGATATTATATGGAAAAACAGAATCGGAACATGATCAATGAAACTTTTATGCCACAGTATAGTCAACTATTAAACTATCATAAAAAAGTAAAAGCGTCACGACCGTATCAAAAGCTACTTTACCTCGTCAGTGGCGTCTTGGTAATCACGCAACAAATCCTTCCTTGTAAGCAGACCCGCCTTTAGTCGTTCCGCTTCTAGCGACCAACGTAGTCTGTCTCGATGATTCTGTTAAAGTGAGTCTTGATTGTAACATTTTAAAAGAATTCTCATTAGAGTTTTGTGCGTGTGTGTATACAATTTGACAAGGAACTATGGATATGTTCAGGTAACTTTATTTATAAATGCTAGGTTCTGAATCCAACATAATTCACCCTGTTTTGGAGCTTTTCATATTTACTACATGATATAATTTGAACATGGAACTCTATCTTTTGTTTGATGCTAGTTTTTCAAATTAAATTTCGATGGGTTTAAAATTAAAGTAGCGATATTTCACTTCTTTTTGGTTGCCCTTAGAGAAGGCATATTATGTGAATTTTTCAAGCGGAACCCTGATGGTATTGAATAATAATGCGAGGCCCTCGAGCACTTTCCTGTATGGTTTTATTGACAGGAGGCTCTCATTAACAGGTTAAAGGTGTAATTAACCTATTAAATGGATAAAAAGAAAATCTCATTTGATATATTATGTATATATGGTACTATATGTATGTTGTTTAAACATATTATGTATAAAATACAGACCTTGACTTGTCCGAGCTCTTCTCTAGCTTTCAAAAATTCTATCTCTGCATCCCCGAGATCACCCTCAGTGAAATCAATGACTTCATCAGTGTGATGCATCTTTTCTCGGATATGAGCCAAAATTTGATTATGCTCCGTGCACTTGGTACGATTTTTTATTAGTTCATCGTCCCGTTCTAAAATTTTTAAATATTATGTGTTAACAATATAAAGTGTAACAAAACACCTTGCTTAACAATTCCATCCATTATGAGTGTATTAATAATATAGTATATTTTTTTGCTGTGGTAGGGCCACATAGCACGTCTTCGCTGTTGCACGCATGGGCAGGTCCCTGCGGGGTACAACGACATCACAGAAGACCGGCGTGAAGTGGAAGTGTTATATACTTCTGTATTTTGCCTTCTGAATGAGGTAAACGATGCGCACTTTATTATAAAGATGGCAAAACATCTGCAACCCTATGGATGTTGCAAAGTTTCATGGACAGCGGTCATCAGTTAACGTCAAGTAACCCAATATCTCTCTTGCTGCATTTCCTTACATAAAAAAGTATGATTTAGCAGATCACACAGAAAGGTTTGTGAAAAAAAAATTCGCATGATATGAAAAACTAGCCAGTAATTTTTTTTTTGTTTACTTATTTTATTTACTGAGACTCCACTTTCTGTTTGTCTGTCCGCCTGTCACCAGGCTATATCTCATGAACCACGATAGTGAGACAGTTGATTTTTTGCCGTTTTTATAGATAATGGTACAGAACCCTTCGTGTGCGAGTCCACCTCGAACTTGACTGTTTTTTTTACTGCTGTATTGTTTTTACAAACAATTAATATCTGCTATTTTTTTCTTTTATGTACTTGTATTTTTCTTATAACATTTTGAATTAATTACATTTATTTCACATGAATAAAAGTTACCTTCAATTTTATTTATATAATTTTGTTTATCAATGTACATTTGTTCGTATTGAGCCACGTGTAGTCCGGGACCTAGTGTTTCTAGTTTTCGAACCACAGTTTCTAATGAAGATACTGCATTTCTGACTCTAATGTAACGTAGGCACAATGTAGAGGCCTGCTCACATTTTTGCTTTTGCAGGGTTAATAGTCGCTGAACGGTCTGAAATGTAATCGTGCTGGTTAATAGCTTAAACAGCGCACTATTTTCATATTGATACAGGAGGGAAAAATTTGTAATCCAAATAGGCAGTACATAGAGTAAAGAAGGCATTTTTCCCTTCATAATTTTAGTAAGGATAAAGATATTAACTTTTTAAAAATAATTTACAAGAAACAAGGCAAAATTATATACATTTTTTATTTATAAAGCAACATCAACAACTTCATAAAATTAATGAAATTTTCTCGTGTAAGAATCTTAAACAAAGTATCTTCCCCATCTCTACCAAAGTTGCTCTGGCTCAGTCTCTTTTTCTACCGATCCTTGACTACGCGGTCACTTGTTATCCAGATGTAACTGAGGAGCAACTTAATAAACTTGAGCGGCTTCAAAATTACTGCATAAGGTTTATATTTGGGTTGCGAAAGTATGACCATATATCCGAATTCCGCCATAAGCTCAAGTGGCTTCCGTTTCGCCTTCGCAGGAATAATCATATTCTTCATCTTCTTTACTGCATTCTGTTCAATCCCACCACTCTTGATTTTTTAAAAGATCAATTTATCTCAATGATTTACACTCTTTTTCTCTCCGTTCCAAAATAATCTTCTACTAAGTACTCCTAGTCACTCCTCTTCCTTCTATGCTAATACGGTTTCTGCTATACGTCTTTGAAATTCTCTTCCTTTACACATTAAACAATATAAATCTCTTTACATTTTTAAAACTAAATTAAAATATCATTGCCTGGATATCTGTCGTCAATCATATATCTTTTTTCTGTATATATGTATATATATATATGTATACATATATATATATATATATATATATAGGTATTCTTATCTTATTATTGTTTAGTACACCATATATTTTTTTAGTACCCCTACTGCTTTCTTCTTTTAATATCCTCTGCCCTAAGGTTGCCTGAAATATCGCTGTTATATAATATGAACTATTTGTCTTTAGTTATAAATCCTGTTCTATTAGTGTACAATAAAGTATATTTTACTTTTACTTTTATCTTATAGCAAAGCAAATGTAAAATATGTAACATAAATAATAAATGCATGGAGCAAATACATATTTAATCTATTTGCTTCATGCATAATTATTCATGTGTACGCTTTGTGTACACAGTAAGCATACAGCCCAATAAGACTATATTCCCGAGGGTTTCTTCACTAACATATTTATTCTTCACATGAGTCCATAAAGAACACCACAGAAAGCTCGTCATTTTTGTCCTTCATTTAAGTTAGGGAGCCAAGATGGACCGATAGAACTTTCGGATAATGTTTGTCATTTGTGGTTCAAATATTAACTTCAAAAAATTAAGTAAGAATCCTGCTTTGGCTCAGGATTCACTTTGAACATGTTTTTTTTGAGGTTATAAGTTTTGTCTGAAATATTGTGTAAATGGCATATTTTTTTTTGGGTGCCGCCATATGGTCATAACATTTATACTCGTTTCTTGAAGTTTTGAGATTAATTTAATTTAAAAAGCATTTAAATACATGATAATGAAAGTTTTACATACAAAATACTTATCTACATCAAAATAATGAAAACTTAAAATAGTTTTGAGTTTTAACCTTTTCAGCAATTGGCTTTCCTTTTTTTGAGTAAATGAGACCAGTACCCGTGCTTTTTTCAAGATGTTGCAATTCTTCAAATTTTGTCGTCGCATTTTGAAATCGGTCGCTATATTGATCTTCAACTCCTTGAATTTTCGATTTTATCTATAATTTAATTTAAAATAATGAACATATAATTATAGAACGTAAGAATTTAAACTATTCTTTTTTATAGCTTTCTATAATTGTCTATAATTGAAGCTATAAAAATAATAGTTTAAAAAAACTAAAGAACACGCTTTTGTAATAAAGCAAACCAAAATGTAGAAAATAACTTTGCATGGGCTCCAACCATCCCACACTTTTCTACAATAGAATATTTTCTTGTTAGTCGCACTATTCTTAATTTAAATATATTGAACATTATTTTCTACTTTTTAGTTCCCTTATCTACAAAATCATATTTTATAGTTTTTTAACTGTTATTAATTTTCAATTTTTTAGTTCTGTTGACATGACAAAAAATCATGATTATTATTTTTTTAACATTTCAAAACGCGTACTTGGCACAAAGACCCTTCCGGGTTCGGATTTGGAAAATAGCTAATCCTGAAGATCCTGATCAAAATAATGGAACAAACAATATAAATTATTGCAATGTCATCGGACCTTGATAAGTGTGTAAAGTTTCGTTTTAATTTCGTTTTAAGGTGGGTCAAAATCACGTTCAAATATTCCCTTACATACATACATAAGTACATACCAAGCTTATGAAAGCGTGTTAAAATGTGACAAAACTTACATTCAATCCTTATTTTATTTGTAGCTTAAGGTTTGGCACGTTTGTAATAATTTCGTTACGGAATTTAATTATTAACGATACTTACCTATGATAAAGCAAAGTTGCACGTAACAAAAACTGGATGTATAGAATAATGCTGGATAATAATGGTAAAATATTTTTCTAAATTAATCTAATTTCTGTACTGTTTTACTTACATCACTAATTTCTTTCTCTTCTTTATCTTTTAATTCTTCATAAACATATAACTTTTGTTGATATTTCTCTTCTAAATCAGCAGAACTTTCTAGTGGTTTCAAAACATGCTCAAGTTTTCTTTTTCTAGAAAGGGAAGACAAAATGTTTGTATTTAATATATAAAGCAAAAAAATGTGTCGAATAAACATTCCAAAACTCTCCGCGATTAAATATTTTAAAGTAGTCAACAGTCAGCAGAGGCCATCAAAGTGTATCAACTGTACCATGACACAAAAATAAAATAAGAAAACATAACATTAGAAATCGTGGAAAAGTATTATTTCATAATTTAGAGTTCCAAAGGTTTAAATTAAAATATAATTTGAATAATTGCTACTTTTAAATGACATTTTTATTAAGGTTAAAAATTATGGCCAGAGCTCAATAAAACAATTACATCAATAAAATTCGGCGCCTCTATTAAATATAGGCTCATGTTACGTAATTGATAATATTCTAGAATGTGTGTAATATACAGATTTTTTGAATTTAGTACTTATAATAATCTCCTAATCTGCGATGAAGAAGATTGTTTTTCATTCTAAGTTGCTGGTAGTCTTGAGTTAATTCTCTATGTACTTGCAAATATTCATCTCTGTTTACAGTAATAGATGCCTTGGATAAGTGTTGTCCAATTTGACCACAGTCACCTTCTGTTTCTTCGACTACACTACCTATGTAACAAACAATGTTATAATTTTGTTTTAATTATATATAAAAATCTACAATAGCAACACCATCGTTTCTTACTTTCAAATATTTATAAAAAATAGAAAACATAACACGACGAAAATAATTATGATTCCAACATAAAAATCTTCGGAAAAGCTTACCGTTTGTAGAAACAAGAATAAATTTTTAAATTAAAAACCGATTGCATCAAAAAATTATCTCTCCATTAAAGTTTTTCGGTTATTTTTGGCTGGATCACGTACTGTTGCCCTTGAGGTCTTTTCAGATCCACCCGGCTTGAGGTGCCCTGGGGCTACCAGGCGCTAGCCTGTACCTCGATTATGGGTGACGAAGTCCGCTTTTATTATTTTCACCGATTAGGGAGGTCGCCAAGCTCTTAGGTCGCTTTAGCGGATGGTTTATGGAGTAACTAGGCTTATGAGCCTCCGAGAGGGCAGGGGAGTTTTACCCGTTTAGCATTTTGATTCGAAGGTGCCCGAGAGGGTCGGATTTCGGCTCGATCGGTGGCTGTAGTCTGACTAGGATTTAGAATAGAATTTCTAATGCTATCATTTCTACAACTTCGGAAAGCGTGGGCGCTGGGACAAGAAGCGGAGGTAAAAACTCCAGCAACAATTGCCTTTTGTGCGTTTTCGTAGATGTTTTATCCTGATGATGGCGATAGTCATCTCATCATCAGGAAAATCGAGGACGTATCGCGGTCTAAGCCATTTGCAACGGAACGTACCTAGTCGGTATTTTTGACGTTTTATTTATTAAAGAATATAGGCAGCCGAGTACGAGGGCCACCCGGTTCTGATAGACGTGCTGACTGAAGTTGAGCTTGGAATCAAAGAGGAAACCTAAACATTTGACTTTATCTTCCCATGGTACTGCCTAAACATTAGTTAAATGGGTGGGGGATCGGGAAAATTTTGTTACGAAAAAAGTAGACGGTCGTGGTTTTGGACGGATTAATCTCGATCCTTCATTGACGGAACTGTGACTGGTACCGATGGTGATGGCCACGTCAGGAGGGACGTCGATGGATCGTTTCTGGCCTTGTGCCTGACATATAGAGACAGATGACGTCAGCAAAGAGCGCAAGGTCCGTCACTTCGGAAGTCCCGTATTATGCATACTAGTAGATGCATGAGACGATCTGGCCCTCCGTACTCGTATAGCTTTTATATGATCTCGTTGTGCGAGACTTTATCGATGGCCTTCACTAAGTTGGCGTTTAACTAATTTATATGCTACGTGATGCGGTGCAATTGGTTGGCAAAGCCCAACTGTTCGGATTTGGGGAGCTTTCGTGAGCTCGTAAGCGGGACAAAAATTTACAGGTCAAAAATCTTCCTAAACGTTTTGAGAAGACTTATTTGGCGATTTGAAGTTGGGAGAGTGGCGGGTTTCGAGGGTTTGAGGAACCCTATGAACCTTCTTCTATTTGCTCGGGAAGACGCCTTCGGTTGTAGTCGCGTTGTAGAAAATTACTAGTATTTGAATAATACTAGTAGGAAGGAGTTTGGTCACCTTATTGGTGATCC